TCAGCAAACTTGAATTAATCAAAAAAATAATAATGAGAAATCATGATGGTAATATTTCAAGTACTTGGATAATTTGAAAAATTTAAATAGTAATAATCAAAAATCCTAATTTCAATTAATTGGTTATGTTTTGTGAATTGTAACACTAATTTATTAACTTGAATTAATCAAAAATAATCATAATATTTCAATTACTGATGGTTGAAATATTCAGAACAGCAAACACTGATTTGGATGAATTGATTATTTTATGTAATACTAATCAATGTAATTGGGTGAACTGCCCAGTGTGACTAATTAGCATTCCATTTCATATAAAAGCACTTGGTAAGTTTTCCAACAAATTATATTACCATAGAGAATGATGCATGAAACCACAATTTTCTCTGGAAAGTGTGTGACCATAGATATTATACGCTATATATTCAACAATAAATAAGTTTTAAGTTTTTAAACTTTTCTCTATTCTGAGTACTGGAAATGATTGACTAATATTCTTGTATTGTAGTTATTTAATCTATTTTAAAATATATTTAAAAGTAATGCATGAAACTGTTGTATATTGTGAATAAAACAATTTTTACCAAAAATACATGTATTAAAGACATGAACATAAACTGATATATATACACATTAATTATTGGTTGTCGTTATTATTTTCAGTGTTTCATAAAAGAATTAGTAGCTTAACAAAATTTGATATTGCTGTGATCTGCTTCATGTTTAGTCATCAGATGTATCTGAACAATGTAATTGGCCAGTAGAACAATACTGGTTAATCAAATTTTAAGCATGCACAGTAACAGAAAAATTAATACTTTCTCAAGAAATTACAGCTTAGTTTAGCATTTAAGATATATATATATATATATGTTGTTAATATATTTATATTATATTTTCATTAAGTCATTTTTTGACAACACTTAAAAATCAAAAATAAACTACCTGAGATTCTTACAAGTGCAACCTTAGATATTATGAGATATTTAGATTGAGATATACAGTAGTATTGGATGTTGTCATCGTGGTTGTTTTTAGTGATTTATTCCATGAACTGTCTTTTGAAAATGGGTAACAAGTCTAGTTGTAAAACTTTTATGTCCAAAGAATTGGCTGGGTCTGTGGCAGTGTAATTCTCTGTACCTATGAATTGATAGTTGAATTTTGCACCTTTGTTTATATTTAAATGTGAACTTGACAATCTGTTAAGCCTAGGGCTGGATAGAAAGTTCAGAATCAAATGTAATTGGGCTGTTGTATGTCTGTCTGCATCGTAAGATGTTTCAAAAACCCTCAATAAGTAGTTGAATTATAGAAGGAAATTTTAAAAATTAATTGGCCAGTTATATGCAACTGATTAGTCAGTTAAGCTATTAATATCAATTATTAATTCCAGTTTAGTAAGTATTTCAATTATAAATTTGTTTCTTTTACAAAATGACAATCTACACTCTGACTGCCTTGAATTTGGTATATTAGCTTATTGATGTTTGTTCATTTCTTATTATATTTTCTGAAATAAAGTTTTGAAAGTAAATTGTAATAGATTTGTTTTTTATTTGTAATCATTCATAAATCAGACTAGGGTGTTTTGAAAAATAATTGTAAAGAACTGCAGTCGTTTTACTTTAAGTCCAAATTTGTATTACAGAGTATTTGCTTTACAGCATTTTTAAGATAATATTAACTAAATGATGAACTAAAAACAGAAATATTCTTATTTCTGCTGACTAAGACTTTAAAGCCTCATAAAAGGTATATTTTTATGTTTTCTAAAGGCATATGTGTGCTACGGGTGAAAGGCCATGTCATCGCATTTGTTGACTTGCATTCAAAATTTTATTGAACTGCTATTTCATGAATTTATGTCAATAAATTTGGTTTAAAACTGTAGATTATAATTCAAATTTTAGTACTATACATTACTTAATTTCTTAGTTTAAAAGTAAATATTAAAAAACAGATAAACATTGATTTTTTTGTGTCATGTGGTATGTTGAATGCAGCACTGGTTCAAATTAGATGTTTGTGAAGTCAGAATACTAAGTCTATAGTTTCATACAAATTTGAAACTCAACTTACAGATATTGACAAGCTAGAATATAAAATAAGGTCTTAGCTTTTCTATTTGCTAAGATGTTGTTCATTTAATAAATCAAACACAGTGGCACCCCGCTCACCTACTTTCATTTTTGGAAATGCTCCCTTATATTCACTTACTTCTATGTATGACATGAATAACCAATCGGAAGCTCAGAATGTCCCCCTAGTGGCTTTGTCAGCCATTTTAACTGGTTTGGATGCCATTTCTTTTGAACCAATATTTCAAGGAGGTAGGGTGTGTGTCTTTAGTCTGCTCAAAATTTCATATTTTTTAGACTAAAGTTATAAGCTTGATAAATTATAGTGGAATTCTATGGTACTGATGTAGTAATTTCTGATTTTTTAGTTATTCAAATGTATATATAAAACCTAAAAAAATTTTTTTGTTTCGTATTCTCCACATGCAAAATGTTTAAAGGCTTATAGCAACCTACATCAAGCAGCAACCAAGTACAAAGGTCATAACTAGAAGAGACAATTG